GGCTCCTTGGGCTGATTCAAAACAATGTGTATAAATGTGCTTAGGTGTTTGTGTGTGGAACTTTAAATCCTCTAGGGTTTCATAGAAATGGTTTGAGTTTTCTTGCTGACAAGTGACATCATTTGGTGAAGGAAGGATGTTCTGGTTAGGTAGATGTAAAGAGATACTTTTGCATGTTGTTTGTTTTGGTTCTATTGAGTTTTGCTATAAATTTAGTTGAATGTGTTGATCGTTTCAAGCAAATGGTTATGATATTTGTTTTATCATTAGTTATCTATGGTTGCCCAATTTAGCTGCTTGTATACATGCCTTATCAGTATGTCAGCGTTTGGATTCATTCTTGATGCAAATTCAGTCACTTATGACACTGGAAGTTGTGGTTGGTGCAAAAGAACAGATTTCAATTTACGATTGGGGCTGCTAATTCGTTAGTGCCATCTTGTTCTGGGGCCAGATTATGAGCTTAGCGGTTGACTGTGTTCTACTGTTCTTAATTTTAGGAAGTAAGAATGCCTGCTGCTGGCGGAAAAGGAAGACCTAAAAATCCTGAAGAGTTGAGCGATGACACTAAAGTTCTGCGAGAGGAAAAACAGGTACCATGGTTCTGTATTGACTAGCTTGTTATTATCTGTTAGTATTTGTATTATAATATCAACGGTACAAGAATGTCCAAAGCTTTGTATTTTTGATGCATTTGCAATTACAAGCAGATTTTGGTGTATGTGTTAGAATCATCAAAGCAGTGGCATGGTTATAGAAAGATTTAGTTGAATGGAAGTGTTGCTTTTGTAGTAACAAAATCTCTTTTTGTTTGGATATCTTTCTGGAAATCTGTTCTTCTTGTCCTAACTGCAGATTTTGACGCGGGCTCTCTCAAGTCCACCATTTGGAAATTATCGAGTTTGGTGGTCTCTTGCGGACTCGAAGTATGCAGGGACAGCTTTGTTAGTGAAAATTTGTTTCAAGCCCAAAAAAGTTTACTTTAACTTGGACAAATTAGGTATTAAAAAAAAAACCTTGTTGCTTGTTCCTTGTCATTACATAAATCTCTTGCACAATAGCAATTTGAAACCATGTTTCTTTTAACTGTGTTGTCATGATTCTGCCATTTTCCTGACCTCAGTTTATCTACTTGGGAGATATATATCATTGCCTGATCAGATTGGTGACTAACTTATATACTTATCGCTATCATGCAGCATCTAAACATGAACCTGATGGTCGTGTAATCTTAGCTGAATTTGAGACATTTCGTCTTTTGAATACGTATTCGCCTAATAATGGTTGGAAAGAGGAGGAGAATTCGTTTCAGAGGAGAAGGAAATGGGACAAGAGGATTGTTGAGTTCCTCACCCAAACGTCTGATAAACCTCTAATATGGTGCGGCGACTTAAATGTAAGGTAAAGAGGAAGTTTTTCTATTGCCATACTCTTTTCTTCAATCCCTTTCAGTGTTACAGAATAATAGTTGAGGTTATTTACATGATTCATCTATTGTAATATATGCAGTCATGAGGAGATAGATGTTAGCCATCCAGAATTCTTTGCATCTGCAAAGCTTAATGGTTATGTTCCTCCGAACAAAGAGGTAATGAAACCAAATTATGTCTCAATTCTAAATTGATGTAGATTGATATAGTGGAAGAACAGAGGGGGTTTTCAACATTGTTAAGTTTTTGTGGTTATACGTTAGATCAGCCTTTGATTTCTCTTATTTTCTTGTCTCTACATCTGCGCTGTGACCCCTATGGTAGATGACTATATTATGCCTGAACCAGAATCTATCCATGAGATGGACTTTTAGAGTTAAACAGTGACTGCAAATGGTTTTGAATATAATGTAGGACTGCGGACAACCTGGATTTACACCATCTGAGAGAGGACGCTTCGGTGCAATTATGAAAGAGTATGCCTAATATTTTTTTTGATCTTGGAAGTGTTAGTAGTACTACTTTCTAGAACTGAGATTACTGAACATGTGATTCTAAATTAAATTCTTGGGAATAACTGTTACAGAGGAAGGCTTGTTGACGCATACCGATATCTACACAAGGAGCAAGACACGGAAAGTGGCTTCTCATGGTCTGGGAATCCTATTGGAAAGTGAGTAGATACCACAGATGTTATTTTTTCTTTTTGCCTGACCATCATTGAGTGTCACGGTCTCTCAAATGCGGATTTCACATGGCATGGAGTCCAGAAGCTCATTATTGTGTTTCTAAAGCTTCATATGGATCTTTTTGTCGCCATAGGTACCGTGGAAAGAGGATGAGGATCGACTATTTTCTGGTCTCTGAACAACTCAAAGACCGTTTAGTTTCTTGTAAGATGCACGGTCATGGGATAGAATTAAAAGGTGCCATAAATAAGATTTAACAAAAAAAATACTCAGAAGATTATTGTTTAGCTCGTTTAAAGCAACCTGGTTCTTGATTTGTTTCAGGTTTCTATGGGAGTGATCATTGTCCGGTAACACTGGAGCTTTCAAAGCCATCTTCAGCCACGGAAGAGAACCAGGTTTCTAACTAAAATCATCAGTTTCTGTATTAGAATCAGAACATAAGCTTTCTCTAGACTCAAAGTAAAAAGCTTGTGCTAACAGAGTTAATCTTAGATGATCTATTTTAATTTACTTTGTCGAGAGATGGCTTGAAGATTAGGTTGATGTTATTGAGACACTTATTTGGCCTTGTTACTCTGATGAGCTCTTAAAGGTGCTTTTATTGATTATTATTGTGTTTTAACAAGTATAATATGCTTCATTTTTCCCAAGAAATGAATCTTTTTTCCTTTTAATTTAGTTTTTGTAAAGTGCTCATTTTTAAAGATTTTGTAAAGGGATTTATATATTTGAGTGTATTTTAAGCATATATACCCTTGGCTTTATTGTATGGTCAGTAGGTAGAGGCAACTATACATATAAAATCAAATTTAATAGTATGTGGACATTTAAGTTATGCATTATTTGTGACCAAAAAAAAAAAAAAAGTTATGCATTATTTTCGAAATTAGTTTTTGCTAAAGACAAATCAGATACTTTGGAAACTTAATACATTACAGAGACCAAAAGGCTAGAAAAACTAAATGTATGATAGAAAATAATATAAGGAAAATATTTAATGAAAAATGTATATTTTTTTTGTCCTTCTATTATAAATCCGAAAACCCTAAACCATAAATCTGTAGATGGTGTGTATTTATTTAATTTTGAAAGAATTAGCCTATTTTTATTTTAGATTTTTTCGTAATTATTTTTCCTAATAAAGTGACTTTTCTTGTTGACATAAAATTACTTCTCAAAATTGTTTAAGTGGAGTTTTTGAATGTGCAAACGGACTTACGGAGACGACCAACAACAAAATGTGTGTGTCGAACAATAAAATGGCAGAATCGAAATATTCATAAAACCACTACCCTTCACACAACACTTCAAAAACCCTTCTTCCTTAC